TGGGCTAATAAGAAACAAGAATTAAGTACAAAGTTTTATGTAACAACAAAGAGGAGGATTAAATCTGCTAAATATGAGGAAGCATTAATATGTTGGTGATATTATCACGGGTGGTAGACTAGATATACAATGCACAAGAGAAAAGTTGGGTTGAAATGGAAGGTATTTTAAGTAACACACAATTGGAGAGGATTATTTGGATTCCACAAAAGCTTTGGGTTATAGATGAAAATGGTAGCGCATTGACACTTGAGGTGTTGAGAATATGGGATGGGTTGCACAAGTCAATGGGCTGGAAGTACAATTCACTTTTGATGCCTGTAGTGGATACAGAGTTTTTTCCCACCAGGGAAAGACAATATTTCCAGGAAATGGTTTAAAGATAGAAATGCTTGGTTAAGGGACATAATAGACAAGGGGAAGTTATGCACTTTTCAAGAGTTAGAGTAAAAAAGATTTATTCTTTACATTAGATGAATTGAGATATTACCAATTGGGACATTTTGTCTCAACGCTCCCCCAACGACTGAGGATGCTAGAGGACATATGCTTCCATTTGAAAAAATGTTGAGTTCTAAGAAGGTATATAAACAAACATGTAGCCTCTAGGATATATAAGACCCTTTATTGAATTGATGGGATCTGAAGCTCTGTTATTCTTTGAGAAATGGGAAAGAGAATTGGGTACAAAAATGAACGGGCTACAGAAGATTAAAATGTTTAAGATAATGCACGGGGTGATAAATATGAACACCCTTGAAATGAATTATAAATGTTTAACCAGATGGTATTTCACACAGTGTGGCACATAAACAAAGAGTAGAAATTTCACCACTATGTTGGAGGGGATGTGGGGTGAGTGGGGCAATGGCACATATATGGTGGGACTGTCCAAAAATGCAAGTGTTTTGGCAAAACCTAATTCAATATATACAGGAGATTTTTGGGATAACTATTCAGAAGAACCCGTGAGAGTGCCAATTTTATAGGTCAGATATGTCAGTGAAACAATATAAAAATAGTATATATCTAATTAGCACGGCAAAAGGTCTAGTCCCCAAATTTTGGCAGATACAGGACCCTCCAACAATGAGGGCATGGATAAATAGGATCGAGTATATAAGATGGAGGAGCTATACCATATAGATAATGATAAAATATGTAGAAAGGATTGGAGTAGGTGGTTATGATTTTAAGACATCTGAAAAATACCTCGAAAGTGATGGGTGCTTTGGTAGTAGAGTTGGAGAATTTTAAACTGAATAACTGGACAGTTGAAAAGTAAAGAGAAAATAGGGTTTTGGTAAACTGGGAAGGAAAGAGATGGAAAGAATTATTTGGACAGGGATAATTTAATGGGGGGGGGGGGGGGAGGAAAATGGGGGTAATGAAGTTACTTGGAATATATTTTTTTGATAAATGACATATCGTTGAACCGTGTATTGAAATAAAATTTAATAAAAATAATAATTAAAAAAACCCTTTTGTCTGGTTGTACAGACTTTGTATGGAGATTGTATATATGATTTTTACCGATGCATGTAAGACACGAAGCAAGTATCTAATTATGGGACAGTAATGAAGCGCAGTGTTCTGACCCTAGGGATGGTCTAATTGCTAGGGAATCTTCAAACCTTCACATTAGACACCTTTTAATTGTGTGCTCTAGTTAATTTTTGAAGAATTTTAGGATTGTCATGTAAATACACATGTAACCACTAGATGGTGTCTTATTGCTATGTGCTGATTGGGAACCAAATTGAAGCTTTGAAACTTTTTTTTACCCATTTTTTTTTTTTCTTTGTTGGTTATTTCAAGTTCCTGATACTGGCTAAGATTGATTATGTCGTTTTAGTCAAGTTTATATGGTCTTTGGAATTGCCATTTTGCTCATCTCTGGTGGCTCAGGATGGGAGTGGGCTCCAACATAGATATTAAAGGGGCACTGTTCATCTGAGTTCCCAATGTATTGTTACACTTTTATTGCTTGCATTAAATGCTACTACATTAAATGGTGCATCACAGAATAGCATTAATAAAAATTCATATTCTAGGACACAGGTGTCAAACTGGCGGCCCTCCAGCTGTTGTGGAACTGTAAGCCACAATTGAGGCGTTGCAAGGTTGACCATTATTAGCATGATTCCCAGAGATAGGCATCATGGGACTTGTAGTTCTGCAACAGCTGGATGACCATCAGTTTGACACCCCTGTTCTAGGAGATGTTTTAATATGGCCTCTTCTGCTATCGCATTGTTTTTGAGCCCAATAAAACTTTGATCAGGTATGGACAGAAATATAGGAATGGTGTGTGTCTTTTTTTTTTTTTTTTGGTTTTGTTTTGCTTTTTGCCATGATGCTATTCTTTCTTCATATTGGAGTTCAGTTTAGGGCTGGTTGCGTGTTAATGCATGCTATAGAAAATGAACATATTGAAATGGCTGACTGTTTTTGTAAAACGCAAACGTACCGAAGGGAGAGATGACTGTTATCAAGAAAGTCACTGACTGTAGGTGATTGTTTCTGTTATAGTAATTGACTGTTTTTGTAATACGGTCTTCTGACATAGCCAGACTGGCTGACTGCCACCTCTCTTCCTTTTTATGGGGGTTAGTAGGTTAGGTTTAGAGAAGTGTTAACCTAAATCTAACCCCACCATTAGTTTAAGGATTCACGTTGAAGTTAAAAGATTAATACCAAATGGATATTACTAAAAAATGCCTTTTGTTCAGTTTAATCTTTTCAGTTGTTTCACGTCAAAATCCCATGTACAATCTGAGAGGGCCACCAATGTCGGCAAATGTACAGGAAGTATTGTACTGCACAGTGCTGTCAGTCTAGATGGGGGACATGCTTGCAGGACAGAATGCAGATTACATTTTCAATGCAAGGATACTTCTCCTTTGTTTGTCAATCAGCAGGACTGTTACATTGCTTTTGTTTCTTAGCTATTGAGGAGGAATCACCCATCTAACGGTGTTGTCTGGCAATGGTTTTGCAAATAGCAAAGATAGCTGAACAAGTTCCCGTGTGTGTGTTGTTGTTTTTTTTTTTTTTTTTTTTGTTTTTTTAATATAATTTATAATGTATTTAACTGTTTGGCTGGAATTTTTATTATGTTTGTGAATGACTCTGACACTCTTATTCGCAACTATCATTTGACGTGTGTTTTTTTGGGGGGGGGGGGGGGGCGTTGCATAAGATTCCCTCTTCACTTATTGCTTTCTGCTCTTTTTAGGAACAATATATTTTTGTTACTATTATGTATAGTGTCCCATTTACATGTGAGTAATGTGGTCATCTCTCCCCTGGGCTTGTCAGAATGCACTCCTACTCTGACTGTTTATTGGTTTTCTCTGAACCTTATGTGGCTACTATGGGGAGGTCTGGGAATGTTCTGGTCAGTGACCTCAGTGTCTGTTAAACCAAAACACACATACAAACCTAGATTCCTTTTTTCTTTTACCAGTTACTGAAGATGTTTATCTGGTTGACAGCTGTATTTAACAACCATAAGTATTTTGATGGTTAAACAAATCACAGAGTACCCAAAATATAATGCCTGGGCATATTGAGAATTCTTTCCTCTTTTCTTGCAGCACATTTTGGCTTTTTTTTTTTTTTAAATAATATCCTTTTATTGCAGCAGAGTATATAAGGATAAAAAAAAAGGAATTGCTGGCAAATAAATTTAGTGACAAAAAAAACAGTGTGGGGGTCCCCCATCCTTAACATGCCCTTCGGGTCTGGTATGGATTTTGAGGGGAATCTTCACACCATCCCTTTATTTTTCTTTTGAAAAATGGCGTGGGGTCCCCCCCCAAAAATCCATACCAGGCCCTTAAGCAACCCAGAAGGTCCTGAACCCTAACAGGCCATATGCCCTCAACATGGTAGGGGGGGTGGGGCAGGGATCTCGGGGAGCTTCCAGATTCCAATAAGCCCCCCGCCTGCAGACCCCCACAACCACAGGCCAGGGTTGTAGGGAAGAGGCCCTTGTTTCTATCAACACTCCATTTTTTTTTTTTTTTTTTTTTTTTTTTTTTTAAATTTAGCTGTCAGCAGGGAACCCCACTGACAGCTGATGTCTCATAGGTTGTTATGGATGCGGCGGCCAGCCACTCCTTAACAAACCCTTGATAGTTACTGAGAGATACCAGTACATACTGCATGTCTGGACCACTACTTAATTACCTCATTCATTTAATTATTTCCTTTTGTGAATTGACTTTTTAAGGTCTTTTTCATGCAGTATTTACCAAGTGTTTCTGCTATTTTTGGCAAACGCCACACACTGCAACAGTGAATTGACATTTTCAGTATCTCACGTGATATGTGATCATGTGACCAACATAACGCATACGATATCCTTTAGTGAATTGTGCCCAATGTCCTAAAAATATTTGAGTGAAATAGACTTATGTCCAACACACACACACTCCAGGCAGTAGTTGGTCCTCAAAACGATGGGATGATTGGTGTGACATCAACAGAGTTGGAACTGTGTATGGAAAGCTTTGCTCCATGTGATTGCAGTGTATTCTAATAAATATAATGAGACAGAGTGAGTTCTAAGCCACACAGAGGGGGGTGTGTGTGTTTCTCTTCTTGGTCCTGATTATTATTATTATTCTTATACAGGATTTATATAGCGCCAACAGTTTGCTCAGCGCTTTACAATGTAAAGGGAGACAATACAGTTCAATACAAGAGGGATAGGAGGGCCCTGCTCCACAGAGCTTACAATCTAAGAGATGAGCTTTTGTTTGTGCAAGTAGGTTGTATTAAAACCTGTATTATAAAAAAACATGTAAGCAATCCTTACAGTTCAGTGTGTGTACCGTCACTGTTGCTACACAACTTTTGCTTTTTAAAAAATGTTTCAGACAAAGTAATGTTAACAATCTCCCAGCTATGCACTTTTCTTTTCTCTCTGGATGTTTTGATTCCTGCTTTTGCTTTCTGCTCAGACTGAGTGTTTTCTCCTTGTCGCTTTAATAATGACTCTCTATTTTTCATATGCAGGGATAAATCGAACAGCCTTGAGGGAAATCAAACTTCTCCAAGAATTAAGTCACGCTAATATTATAGGTGTAAGTAGTAATAATTCTTCTATAGAGCCTTTTATATTTTATTTAGTATTGTGCTGAGAGAAATAGGGGGCACACCATTGTTATGGTTTTCCTAAAGATGCTAATTGCCTGGTTGTCATGTGGATCCAAAGGCTTCAGTAGTTTCTAATATTCATTCCAACAGCTAGTATCCAGATCAGGCGTGCTTACTATACTGTTTTATTGTCACAGAAGCAGTTCTAAAGTCTCCCCCCTCATCGTCACAAAGTCTCATCTAACCATTATATTCACATATTAATTTCTTTGAAGATTGCAGTGATGAGGATCTAAACCCAAGGACAGTAGTATAAGGAAAATGCTTATACTTGCCTATTCAGAGTGCACTCCAGTCCAGCCACATGATTTGGCTCTTAGCTGCAGCTTTAGGGGAGAGTAGGGACAGCCAACAACAGATGCTCCATAGTAAGTCTGTGGATGATGTCACCACCCAGGCATTTCAGCAGTTGTCTGCAATCTCTTCTCCCCCCTGAAGCCGGCTGGTGGGGAGATCATGTGACCAGACTGGAGCATCCTCAGAATAGGCAAGTATAAGCATCCTCCTTTCACACAGTAGTTAGAATAGGATTTAGGAGAGTGGGAGCAGGTTTAGGCATAGTTAACAATGGCATTCTACTTGATTAAGGATTGGTAAGCTGAAATATAATATTTATGTTCTTTTGGTTTAGATACTCTTTAAAATTGGCTGCAGTCACCTTAAAACCTGAGCATGTAGAAAATGTATCTTTACTTTAGGGAATTAAATGAGCAGTATTTTTTTTTTTCTTTGCAGCTTTTGGATGCTTTTGGTCACAAATCCAACATAAGTCTGGTATTTGATTTCATGGAAACAGATTTAGAGGTAAGGTTTCAGGAAACCTTTTAATAGCAGCTCCACACAAGCAAAGACGTGAAACTCCTTTTATGTCCATTTCTGAACTTAAATGGAATTAAACACATTGATATAACGGTTTCCCAAATAATTTACATTCAAGGCATGTTGTAGATTACTGTTACAGTTGCTTTTGCTTTCAACCGAACAGTCAAGCCAATAAATGGCTGGTGTCATAATCGATCACACGTGCAGTACCATGGCAACTGCAGATCAAACTGAGAATAGGATGGCAGCTTCCTTGGCTGTAAAGGATAGGAGGGTTGAGTTTTGCATTAAGTTCTGGGCATCATTCAAATGGGTGCTGAGGCCTTTACACCATGCCAAGTAGGTGCTGCATGCAGGCAGCCTATTCAATGTATGTCTATGAGGACACATCTATACTTGCTAAATATTTTGTTTATGAATGTAAACTGTCTTTTCAGGCTATAATAAGGGATACCAGTCTAGTCTTGACTCCAGCGCACATAAAGTCTTATATGTTGATGACTCTTCAGGGCTTGGAGTATTTGCATCATCTCTGGATCCTGCATAGGGTGAGATAATACACATGCGTAGTTATTCAAGCACACTTGCCTTACTAAATAAACTTAGATCTCAGACTTAAAGGCATTGTATACTTTCAAGTGTTTTTTTTCACTAGGTGTTAGTGTTTTCTATTCCCTGTGGTGTTTGTTTGCCTTACCTTTTTATAAGGATGGGCTCACATGTTATGACTGCAATTTAGAGTGTCATGGCTAATCGATTCCCCTATGTCCATGTATTCATTAATCTAGTTGATTTCTCTTCGCTAAAGGGACAGGCATCTTTTGTTCTGCATAATAATCGATGCTTTACCATTTCCTCTGCTGCATGTGAGAGTTCTAATGTGATGAAAGACTGCATGATGAACTCTGTCAATTGTTGTGTCTGCTTGCGGCACAGTGGCTTAGTGGTTAGCACATCTGCCTTGCAGTAAATGGGTCATGGGTTCGATTCCTGACCATGGTGCCTCCTGCATGGAGTTTGCATGTTCTCCCTGTGCTTGCGTGGGTTTCCTCCGGGTGCTCCGGTTTCCTCCCACACTCCAAAGACATGCTGGTAGTGTTGTGTGTTGGTCATGTGTGTAAATGTAAGTGTGTGTGTGTGTGTGTGTGTGTGTGTGTGTGTAGTGCTGCGTAAATTGACAGCGCTATATAAGTACCTGAAATAAATAAATATCTAGTTACTATTAAGCTCACCTGAGGAGCACTAGACTCTTGTGTTATATGTAGTTTATGGCAATGCCCCATGTTTGAGCACAAACAAACTTCTGACAGTGGAATTTGACTCTACTATAGGCTTTGCATTCAGCACAACAAATTACTCCATGAAACTACATGCATAATTCATATTTTATGCCAGTGATGAATACAAGGTATGGTAGGTTTATAATGACTTTTAAACTTTTGGAAAAAAAAGTGAAAATCTCTGCAGCTTTATTAGTGCTGCTTCCTCCCTGTAGTACCAGGAACCACTGCCTTGGTTTATTGCCGTAGATTATAGAGCGTGGGATTCCTGTACTAGTGAGCAAGAGATAAGCACTCTGTCTCCTGGCTGGGCTACTTGTAAGGGTTAGGGGGCATCTGTTTTTAATTCGTAGCTTGGTGTTAGGCTTTGCAGGAGTAAATGTCCAGAAGTCTTCTTAGAGGTTCTTGTCAGCCAGGATTCATTCCTACTTGGGGATACACTGGTGAGCATGACTGCCTGAAGGATTAGATTATGTATGCACATCAGCCACCCTCTAGTATGTGGCCTGCTTATTACTCCCTCAGACCTAGCTGCTCTACAGTAGGCCTGGCTTTGGTGATTGGCTGCTGCAGCAGCAGATGGAAGTATTTTTTTTGATAGTAATGTCAATTCAACTGTGTGTGTGTGTGTGTGTGTGGTGTGTGTGTGTGTGTGTGTGTGCGTGTGTGCGTGTGCGCGCGCGTTTTTAAGTATTTAACTTTTGATTACTAATGTAAATATAAAGAATAAAGATCTAATATTTTTAATAGACTTTAGCTGGCCATAGATGAGTGTTTTAGTGAGTGATTCTTTTATCCACACAGACAAGAAACCACCTGCTGGGGCATTGAATTGTGACAGAACCAGATCCTGCTGTCAGAATAACACTGATCAATACCTCCAGCCACTATTTGACAAGTTTTTGTTCAAATTGTCTATTCATCAGAAGTCAATCTAATGATTTGTCTTCTGTCAAGCTGGGATGGCATCACAAATTTGATTGATCCCTACTGAACTAACTGAATTTCAATCCATCTGTGTCCAGGTTTTTACTTAAATTTCCCTTCCAAAACAAAAATCGACATAAATCAAAATTAGAAGTACTTAACAAATCCCCAGCTTCTGCACTTAATAGCAACAGACCATCTTGGAATATAAATTGGAATTAAAAATTATAAATGCATGGCTCTCATACAACAAAAACAAACAATTCCCATCACCAAAAATGTGCCATTTGGTGTGTGCATATACCTATCTTGTATCAATTTAACAATTTTAAGAATATATCACAATGCATAAATGTGAAACTCCTGATGTAAAAAAAAAAAAAAAAATACGCTGTTAATTTTGCCTGGTGTACATTTTAGTTACAAAAATTACATAAATAAGGCAATCATTCTATGTCTCGATTTAAGTCTTTTCAGATCTGATTTATAATCTTGAGCGTCATCTCTTAGGTGGTGTGAATTTTTTTTTTGTATATTTGTACAAGAGAGCTGTTTTCTTATTTTTAAGATGTGATCATTTTTGTGAATACAATTTGTGTTGCAGGATTTAAAGCCCAACAACTTGTTGCTGGATGAGAATGGAGTCCTTAAACTGGCTGATTTTGGTTTGGCCAAGTCATTTGGAAGTCCAAACAGAGTTTACACCCATCAAGTGGTAACAAGGTATATAGTCTATTCAATTTTAGTTAAAAAAAAATTGATAATGGAGTAACTACTGTTCCTATAATAAAAAACACTGTAGGTTTGATTATATTTTTGTCTGTCGTGCAATATGCAGCACTTTCAGATGAAATGTCTCAATGCAACATACCTGAATGCACTTAACTTTTTTTTTTTTTTCCCTAAAGGCTACCTGACCTTCATTCTAAATAATAGTGCTGCCGAACCTCAGACACAATGATGTACCTCCCCCGATTTGAGATTGCTTGCACTTTAGCATGAAAGGCTCAGCTTCTTTGCCTGATTCTCAGACTGAATTCACACATAGAGCAGTGACTGTCATTTTACTGAATTTCACTGCTGTACAGTGAATGAAATGTGCTTTTGTACACCTCAAATAAAGTTCTGTTAAAAAAAAGGGGGGATCTGTGTGATTTGCACACCTCACTGTCCCCTACCACAGTTTGAATGGACAGCTGCCAGAGAGAAAAACTGCTGCAATTTGCCTGTTCAGCAGCTGTTCATTGTGGGTGAATTAACCCTTCAGTCTTATCTGCCGCTTGCACAAGGCCCCAGCCATCCATCTGGAATGCATGAGTGAAGCTGCGGCTGTAAGTCCATTCATTCTGTTCCCATTCATAATTACTTGATTTCTCTTCATGCCTTGTAAGGGGAAGGGGAGGGATCAGCACTGTAAACAGTAATATGTGATCGCTGTGAGAAACAATCTCAGCGATCACTTGGTACCTCGCCCCTTAGATTGGCTTTGTACAGTTTCTCTGTGTACCGAGCTGTCTAATGGCAGCTCAGTCGAAACATATACTGGGCAGATAAACCACCTGGCGGTTATTCATCTAGTGCAGTTCATAAACAGCACTGGATAAAGACAGGGTTGCTGATACACCATTTGATAGACCTACAAAAGAGGTTAATGAACACTTTAAACATTTGTTGATTTCCCACATAAACTGCTGTGTAATTGGGAGAGGGAAAACATAAACCATGTTATTGGTATTATGTAACATTTACCACATATGTTATTGAAACCTTCTTGTATTATCATAATAGGTGGTATCGGTCTCCAGAGTTGCTATTTGGTGCTAGAATGTATGGTGTTGGTGTTGACATGTGGGCAGTCGGATGTATTTTGGCAGAATTGCTTCTAAGGGTATGTAGTCTATATTATGTCTGTAAAATGACATACTGATGAAAGTAACTGTTAAACTTGTAAATAAAATGTAAATATGCGCTTAGGGTAGAGTATGCACTGGTGGATAATGCATGTCCTCATTTTCTATTAGGTGCCTTTTCTGCCTGGGGATTCTGATTTGGATCAGCTCACAAGAATATTTGAGACATTGGGTACTCCAACAGAAGATCAATGGCCTGTGAGTATCCATCATATTTGTTTTCCTTATGAGCACTGTGTTGTGTAACTGCTTCTTGTTGGCAAAGATGTTCCTATGTCAGAATATCTTACTGATGTGATTGCTGCACAGGCCTTGTAACTTTGTCCATACACAAATTGTGCAGGGGTATACACCCTCATGGACTTTTCCAGAATTTGTTTTGTTATAGCCTGACATTTAAATTAATCATGGAACCTGGAAGGTGTAAAATATTTTATTATGCAGCCAGCAAATGCCTGCTCTTTGTTTAGGGGGTGTGGGTGTGTGTGTGGGGTGTGTGGGTGTGTGTGTGTGTGGGTGTGTGTGTGTGTGTGTGTTATTTTGCCAAAAGTATTTTGGAACACCTGAATCCAATGATTTGGAGGGGTGTCTTATCACCTTCCATGTATAAAATCAAGCCCTAGGCATGCAAACTGCTTCTAAAAACCTTTTGAAAGAATGGGTCCCTCCTCAGGAGCTTCGTAAATTCAAGCGTATGGTACCGTGATAGGGTGCCACCTGTGCAATAAGTCCATCCGTGAAATTTCCTTGCTACTAAATATTCCACGGTCAAACTGTTCGTGGTATTATAACAAAAAGTGGATGCAACTAGGAACAACAGCAACTCAGCCACGAAGTGGTAGGCCACGTAAAATGATAGAGCGGGGTCAGCACATGCTGAAACGCACAGTATGCAGAAGTTGACACCTGTCTGCAGAGTCAATATCTAAAGACCTCTAAGCTTCATGTGGCCTTCAGATTAGCACAACAACAGTGCGTAGAGAGTTTCATGGTATGGGTTTCCATAGTCCTGAGCAGCTGCTTCCAAGCCTTCTATCACCAAGTACAATGCAAAAACGTTGTATGCAGTGGTGTAAAGCACACCGCCACTGGACTCTAGAGCAGTGGAGACGTGTTCTCTGGAGTGAGAAATCTTGCTTCTCTGTCTGGCAATCCGATAGGACGTGTCTGGGTTTGGTGGTTGCCAGGAGAACAGTACTTGCCTGACTGCATTGTGCCAAGTGTAAGGTTTGGTGGAGGGGGGATTATGGTGTGGGGTTGTTTTTCAGCGGTTGGGCTTGGCCCCTTAGTTCCACTGAAGGGAACTCTTAATGTGTTAGCATACCAAGACATTTTAGACCATTTCATTCTCCCAACTTTGTGGGAACAGTTTGGGGATGGCCCCTTTCTGTTCCAACATATCTGCGCACCAGTGCACAAAGCAAGGTCCATAAAGACATGGATGAGCGAGTTTGGGGTGGAGGAACTTGACTGGCCTGCACAGAGTCCTGACCTCAACCTGATAGAACACCTTTGGTATGAATTAGAGCAGAGACTGCAAGCCAGGCCTTCTCTTATGACATCAATGCCTGACCTCACAAATGTGCTTCTGGAAGATGGTCAAACTTTTCCATAGACACACTCCTAAACCTCGTGGACAGCCTGCCAGAAGCTGTTATAGCTGCAAAGTGTGAGCCAACTCAATATTGAACCCTACGGACTAAGACTGAGATGCCATTGAAATTCATGTGCGTGTAAAGACAGGCATCCCAATACGTCTGGGGTATGTATGTATCTGTGTGCGCGTATATCTATTCTCTATTTATTTATTTTTATATAGCACAGATTTTTATCAGTTTACACAGTCCTTGCCAATGTAAAACCCTCCCCACGCCATGCTTATAACCCTGTTTATTCATATGTTTTTCATCCAACAACTGGCTTTTTCTGTATGTAGCATTGTTTTGTTAACCATTTGCATTGTACAATATGCAGAGAACGGAGGCATGCATTGCTAAGTAACTTTTTTTTTTTTTTTTTTTTGTGTGTGTTTTTGGTCTCAAATTGCTTTTTGTGAAAAATTTAACATAAGGCGTGTGTTTCTTATGCAGGGCATGTCTAACCTACCAGACTATGTTACCTTTAAAAGCTTTCCAGGAACACAGCTTGATCAGATATTCACTGCTGCAGGGGATGACCTGCTTGAACTTTTACAAGGTTTATTCACGTTTAACCCCTGTGCTCGGTACACAGCCTCACAGGTACGTCCTGAACATTGACTGAAATGTTCTTCTTCAATATTTGACCTTCGTGCTTCCTTATTTTTATTTGATTCTTAAAGTGGTTGTAAAGGCTCAAGGATTTTTTACCTTCATGCATTTTATGCATGAAGGTAAAAAACCTTCTGTGTGCAGCAGCCCCCCCCCCCCCCCCCCCCCCCCAACACTTACCTGTGCCCCATTACGTTCCAGTGATGTGCACGATAGCCTCGGCTCTCTGGGGACTCTCCTTCCTTGTTGGCGGAGAAAGCAGCCAAAGTCATTGGCTCCTGCTGCTGTCAATCACAGCTAGTGAGCCAAATAGGAGAGGGGGGGGGGGCAGGGCCAAGCCGCGGCTGTGTGTGAATGGACACGCAGAGCAGTGGCTTGGAAACCAGCTTGCTTGGGTGCCCCCCATAGCAAGGTTCTTGCTCTGGGGGCACTAGGCAGGAGGGAGAGGTCAGGAGCACCAGCAGGGGACCCGAGAAGAGGAGGATCAGGGCTGCTCTGTGCAGAACCACTGCACAGAGCAGATACGTATGACATGGTTTTTTTTTGTTTTTTTTGGGGGGGTGTTCCTATTGCCTTTAATATCAATTAAATATGTAGGACTTTGTAATCAAATCAACCATGGTTTCATCCTATAGAAATTGATGCTTATATTTCAAAAGTTGTCTTTGCAGGACAAGTTACTCCTCTCCTCTCATCTGCATAGCCTGATCTATCTTTTAAAGACATTATTTTATGCAATGTAGACAGATGGACAGTGTATAAAGGGCTTTGCTCTGCAGTAACAGCTGTCGCCAAACTACCTGGTATTGGAGCCTAGACTGAGGGCAGTAATGTTACCCACTCTGTCACATAACAGTGTGACAACTGCTGGGCCTGAGCAATGCATCAAAAGGAGGTCACATCCTCGCCCCATACCTTTTTTGCATGAGCTGAGATAGCAGAAGGTATGGTATAGGGGTCAGTAATGGGTGTCAGGGAGGGACTCTGCCAAAACAAACAGTAGACTCAGTATTTATTCACAAATCTTGGCTTTTAATATAAAAATGGCCCTGCCTGTCCTGTGTGTGGTGTTTTTTTTTGTTTTGTTTTTTTTGTTTGTTTGTTTGTTTTTGTTTTTTCCCTTACATCCTTATTTTAAATTGCCCAGATATGCAACAGGATGAAAGTGTGTATGACGTGTAGCCAAATAGTGAAATGTTCCTTCTGAGAGGATAAATCTATCTAGTGGGGGGCACAGGCAGCAATAAAAACTAGAAAGGAGTTCTACTCCTCCCTTCTCCTATCGAAAACTAAAAAGGGTTTTTGACAACTTCATTTATCATCTCTGTCAGTTTTTCTACTGTGGGGAAGTTGATGTAATAAATACTTTGCTCTTTTGTGAAAGTGGTATCCTTTTGGTTTTTCTATGGTTAAACTTGTGAAGTAATAACAGAATATCTGTGGTAAATATAATTTTGGAAGGCAACAATGTCACTTCTCTTCTAGACAGAAAGGCAAACCACTTACTTTTCATACATAGTCTTTAACCACTGGCCTTCCAGAAGATTTAACTCCCTTCCTAATCAGGCAATTTTTGCGATATCGGCGCTTCTTTACTTTAACTGACAAGCGGTCATGCAACGCTGCACCAAAATGAAAATTGTCGTTTTTTTTTTTTTTTTTTTTTTTTTTTTTTTTTTCCTTTACCACAAATAGGTTTCTTTTGGTGGTATTTGGTCACCTGTGGGTTTTTTTTTTTTTTTTTTGTTTTTTTTTTTTTTTTGGGGGGGGGGGGGGGTTTTTTGCGCTATAAACAACAAACGATTTTGAACAAAAAAAACAGACTTTTTTGCTATTATTAAACATGTCTAGTAAAAAAAAATTGAAAGATCAAAACATTTTGTCATACATTTAGGCCAAAATGTATTCTGCTACATGTCTTCGTTAAAAAAAAAAAAAAAAAAAAAAAAACCCAATATGTGTAAAGTAATTGGTTTACGTGAAAGTTATAGCGTTTACACATGGTAGTGTGTGTAGTGTGTGTGTGTGTGTGTGTGTGTGTGTGTATGTATGTATATATGTTTTGTTTGTTTATTTATATATATATATTACTGGAATTTATTTTTTTACTAATAATGGTGCAGATTGGCGGCTTGTAGCGGTACTGTGGCGGGCATCTGACACTGGGGGGAACTGACTTGATGTCACTGACATCCCAAGTGACACCAATACACTGATTAGTGTTAACAAAAAGCACGGACTCTGTACTAATGGCACTGGGCAGGAAGGGGTTAATGTGGGGCAATCAAAGGGTTACCAATGTGCTGTTTTGCTATGTGGGCTGTGTGTGTGCTGGCGGCGCAGACCCCCTGATCGGAACTGCAAAATTGTGTGTGTGTGTGTGTGTGTGTGTGTGTGTGAGATTTTTGTGCACCCATGCCTCCCTGTAGCAGTATTTCTGCTATAGGGCAGCGCAGAAGCGGTTAATACCACGTGTAAGAGTCTTCAATTGTTTCATATAATAAGCTACCCAGATCTAAAACTTTTATTATTTTGGATAAAGACCATAAGAGTACAGTATAATGTCCCCAACATATGGCATACAGTTGTTTGACCGTAGTGGTATAATGTATACATCTGGCATATAAATCACACCTGAAGAACCCCTGTTGACATGTTTTGCAAGATTCCACTTTGTAAGGACCATGTTTTCTGATGTAAATATTAGGTTATACAGTGCTTTCAATTCATCTAGGGAAAGAGATGTATCATTAAGGCTTTGTTCACGTGCAGCAGTAAAATCAGGTGGTTGCGCCATCTGAATAATAACATACAGCCGCTTAGAGCTGTACAGATGCCATGGCTGTATCAAAACTTAAAAACCGCATGTTGCAATCAGTGGGCAGTGCCGCTGCTGAACCCGACTAATGCAGTTCTGTGGTGCCGCACCCCAATCGCATGCAATTTCTGCGCAGCACTACGGCAATGATATGGGTTGAATCAGGAAATAGGGAGACACAACATATTACCTCCCTCACTGCCTGTCAAATACCTCTGATCGAGTATATGAGTGTGGATAGCTTTTCAAAGGAGCAGCAGTCCCTGCAGCACATGTGAGCTAGTCCTGTAAAGCAATTTTGCTCTCAAAATTGTATCAAATCTTCTTAAGTATTGTATATCTTTCCCTAGATAGAATTTAAGATCATTGTTTATTGTCATTAATATTTGCATGTGAAAACCCTGTCCTGAGAAGTGGAATGCTGCAATATGTGTTCACAGGAGTTCAAGTGTGATTTATAGCTCTGATGTATATATTATACCATTAAGGTCAAACAACTGTGTGCCATATGTTGTGGACATTGTACTCTTGATTCTATGAGTAGACCATTGTGGTCTTTGTATGTGGAATACCGCAAATATATTTTGTCTGGAGCATTTAGACATATATAAAGATGAAGTGCAAAACCACTTTTTTCACGTGGCAGATTTCTTGGCTTCTTTAACCTATATGCATGTATTTTTCTGCAGGCACTAAGGAAAAAAATATTTTAGTAATAGACCAGCACCAACACCTGGACATTCGCTGCCAAGACCAAACTGCTCAGTAGAGGCATTAAAAGAGCAACAAAATCTTACTCTAGGCATTAAGAGAAAACGAGTGGAAGGTGCAGAACAAAGTAAGTATTTGTGCCCATTTTATTATATTATACAGGATTTATATAGCGCCAACAGTTTGCTCAGCACTTTACAATATAAAGGTGACAATACAGCAACAATACAGTTCAATACAAGAGGGTTAGGAGGGCCCTGCTCCTTGGAGCTTACAATCCTAAGAGGGAGAGGCTTTTGGTCCAAAAGTTAATAACTGTGGGCCCATTTCAAGTCTTCCAAACTTTGTATAATCACAGAAAAAAACACTTCCAACCTTTGCCATGTTTAATAACCACTTCAGCTCTTCCATTCATTATTTGGAGGACAATCTTTGTGGTACACGTGTACACCCTCCCTTAGGCTGCACTCACACTTGAGTGTTTTTGTAGCTTGAACTCCAAAAACGATCAAACCTAAAAAAAAAAATCCGTTCTCTATGGTGCCTGTTCGGGGCGATCAGGTGTGAACAGGTACCATAGAGAACAATTAATATATATAATTTTTTTTTTTTTTTTTTTTTTAAGTTGGAGTGTTTTGTAGCTTGAAGCTCCAAAAGGGCTCAAAGTGTGAATGCAGCCTAATACTGCTGTGTCTATCAGCTGTACTTGCTAATGTTGTTGTTTTTGTCTTGGCATTTTCACTCCCCTGTTCTTTTTCTTCTTTATCCTGCTTTCCTATGCATGTTCATTGCCACCCTGTTGAACCCAGCCCAAAGCCAGGCATACCCTATCCTATTTTTACACTTCTTTTTTTTTTTTTTTATAATTGACTGCTTGGTTGTGTTTGACATTCACTCTAAATACACTGCTCAGAGAAATTAAAGGAACACTTTTTAATCAGAGTATAGCATCAAGTCAATTAAACTCCTGGGATATTGATCTGGCCAGTTAAGTAGCACAGGGGGTTGTTAATCAATTTCAGCTGCTTTCGATGTTAATGAAATTAACAGGTGCACTAGATGGGCAATATCACGTACCTGGTGATGGAGGCCAATGGAGAGAGGGCTTCCCTTGCGGCTAAGTTCCTGACTCCCCTGAGAGTGGGACAGCGGGAGTCAGGCCCAAAGTTGCACAGGTCGGCTGTAGGAGTGCTGGTTGGTGGTCCACTCAGGAGCACAGCTGGTGCACGGGGATAGGTCTGCAGACTGGAGGCGCCTGTGCATGGTATGCAAGCCTTCCGGGATTTGGATGTTGCTGGTTAGTCAGTTCGAGCCAAGGTCAGGTACCGGGTGGGAAACAGAACAGACGTAGTCAGGTGGGATAGCTGAGGCCAAACAATCAGAAACAAACTTTGAGGGTGGCCTGAGGGCCTGACTTCTTCTAGTGGGCCCTGTGCTTACTGCCCGGCACCATAGAGAAGCCGTGGAGAATGTTATGCCGCCTGTAACATCATTCAGCATGACTATTTTGGTGGTAGATCAGTGATGGTCTGGGGAGGCATATCCATGGAGGGATGCAGACCTCTACAGGCTACACAATGGCACCCTTGACTGCCATTAGGTATCAGAATGAAATCCTTGGACCCATTGTCAGACGCTACGCTGGTGTAGTGGGTCCTGGGTTTCTCCTGGTGCATGACAATGCAGAGCCTCATGTGGAGAGAGTATGCAGGCAATTCCTGGTGGGTAGAGGAATTTATACCATTTTAAATGGCCCCCACACTCGCCTGACCTAAATCCAGTAGAAGAACTCTGGGATATCTTGTTTCGGTTCATCTGACACCGCCAGGTTGCACTTCAGACTGTCCACGAGCTCAGTGATACCCTGGTCCAGTTCTGGGAGGAAATAGCCCAGGACATCATCCGTCGTCTTTTAAGGAGCATCCCCCAACATTCAGGCATGCATACAAGCACATGGGGGCCATACAAACTACTGAGTACCATTTTGAGTTGCTGCAATGAAATTTCAGCAAAATGGACTAGCCTGCTGGATTAATTTTTCACTTTGATTTTCGGGGTGTCTTTGAATTCAGTCCTTAGTAACATAAGGATGCCCCAACATTTGATGGAAATGAAAATTATCAACCTACTAACACATTACCCAGTCCATATCCGTATAGATATCCAGTATGATATTTTCCCCATAGATATCCAGTATGATATTTTTCCCCATTTTGAGATTTGATGCGTTTTTCAAAGTGTTCCTTTAATTTTTTTGAGCAGTGTACACAAATTCTGTGTCAGGGAAATCCAGCAACAAATCGAGGCAATTCTCTTCTATATGGTCACCATAATGGACACTTATTCATTTTTTACCTCCGTGTAACCTAAGACTGTGACTCCTACAGGTGGCCATGCATTTGGCAAGTTTCAGGCAATTTTTTTTTTTTTTTTTTTTTAACCACTGGAAATTATAGGTTAGGATTTGCTGACGTAAACTATGCAATCTGCTAGCCATGAGTTTAATCTACCTCCAATATTTGGTCCGTTTAAGCTCAAACTGGGTGCTAAATTGACTGCTCCTGTACAGTTTAATTTAAAAATGGAAATGAAAAGGCAAATTCTATTTTTGTTCGGTTTGCTTATCTGCCTCATTTGGTCAGGACTAGCTCCATCCCATCTCATAGCTGTCTATTGAATCTATTCATTTATGTTTCTTAGCTGTTTTGCAATTTTAAAATTAAAAAAAAAAAAACTGAATCAAAAGTTTAATCATCCTTTCAAATTGCCATGTACATGACCAACTTAACCTCTTCACGCAGGTCACACACAAATGTGCGACCTCCTGGCGTCTGGGCCTAGACTCCGAGCGGCCGCATATTTGTGTGCAATTAAGAAAAACATATGTGCTGAGAGCGCGCGCCCTGCGTGCTCCCAGCACACTTGTCCGGTACTCACGGAAAGGTCCTGATCTTCTCTTTCGATCGGGACCTTTCCCGATCATGTGACGGCGAATCATGGCGGTCATATGACCCTAAAACCACGCCTCCCAGCTTCTGAAACCCTTAAAGGGCCGGGAGGCGCCGGCACCAAGGGGTTATAATAATACTAAAGGTTCCTATTTAAAATAAACATGTTATACCTGTTTGCTCTTTGTAATTGATTTGCAGAGATCAGCCCCAATCCTCCTCCTCTCAGGTCCTCCACCAGCACTCCTGCCCCCCCCCCCCCCCCCGTTCAGTGCCCCCATGGCAAGCTGCTCACTTTGGAGGCACTCATGTGGCACCCTCCCGAGCCGCCTCTGTGCACTTCTTCCTCACTGGCTGTGATTGACAGAAGTTACATAGCTAGTCTGGCTGAAAAAAAGACAGAAGTCCATCCAGTTCAACCATAGAAAAAAAAAAGTTATAATCCTATACCCACAGTTGATCCAGAGGAAGGCAAAAAAAAAACAAACCCCAGCAAAGCATGATCCAATTTGCTCCTGCAGGGAAAAAAATTCCTTCCTGATCCCCCGAGAGGCAATCGGATATTCCCTGGATCAACTTTACCTATAAATGTTAGTATCCAGTTATATTCTGTGTATCTAAGAAATAATCCAGGACTTTTTTTAAAGCAATCCACTGAGCTGGCCAGAACCAACGCTTGAGGGAGTCTATTCCACATTTTCACAGCTCTCACTGTGAAGAAACCTTTCCGTGTTTTGGAGATTAAATTTCTTTTCCTCCAGATGTAAAGAGTGCCCTCTTGTCCTCTGTGATGACCTCAGGGTGAATAGCTCTACACTGAGCTCACTATATGAAGTACTGATGTATTTATACATGTTGATCGTATCCCCCCTTAATCTCCTCTTCTCAGGAGAGAATAAATTCAGTTCCTCTAATCTTTCCTCATAGCTGATCTCCTCCATGTCTCTTATCAGTTTGGTTGCTCTTTTCTGTACTTTCTCCAGTTCCCCAATGTTCCTTTTGTGAATTGGTGACCAAAACTGAACTGCATATTCCAGATGAGGTCTTACTAATGATTTGTACAAGGGTAATATGATATCGCTCTCTCTCTGGAGTCTATACCTCTTTTAATACAAGAGAGGATTTTGCTCGCTTTAGAAGCCGCAGCTTGGCATTGCATGCCATTATTAAGCTTGTGATCTACCAGAACCCCCAGATCCTTCTCCACCATTGATTCCCCCAGTTGTACCCCCCCCCCCCCCCAGTATGTATGATGCATGCATATTCTTAGCCCCCAAGTGCATAACCTTACATTTATCAACATTAAACCTCATTTGACACATAGTTGCCCAATTAAACAGTGCATTGAGGTCGGCTTGTAAGTTGAAGACATCCTGTAAGGACGTTATTCCACTGCACAGCTTGGTGTCATCTGCAAAGACTGAAATGGGATTTTTAATTTCAAACCCTATATCGTTTATAAATATATTTAAAAAGTAAGGGTTCCAACACTGAACCTTGGGGTACACCACTGACCACCCTAGACCATGCAGAGTATGAATCATTAACCACTACTCTCTGAATACGATCTTTTAGCCAGTTTTCTATCCATTTACATACTGATTTTTCCAAGCCCGTAGACTTTACCTTACACATTAGCCGTGTGTGGGGAACTGTGTCAAACGCTTTTGCAAAATCCAAGTATACCGCGTCCACCGCCACCCCTCTGTCCAAGGTTTTGCTCACCTCCTCATAAAAAGAAATCGGATTTGTTTGACAACTTCTGTCTTTCATGAATCCATGCTGTCTGTTGCTTAAAATGGTTTTTCTCCAGCAAGAACTCATGTATGTGGTCTTTTATTAAACTCTCCAGTATCTTCCCAACTATAGAAGTTTAACAGGTCTGTAATTACTTGGTAGAGATTTTGACCCCTTTTTAAATATTGGCACCACATTGGCCTTACACCAATCCAGTGGTACTATGCCAGTCAGGGTGGATAAAAATCAATGATTTTTAAAAAAAAAAAAAAAATCGTTTTTTTTTTCTATTTTAAATCGGATTTTTTTAAATAAAATGCTTTTTGAGGAAAATAAATTACCATCCAAAGGTTATTCCATCATGAAATAAAGATTAGTTTTAATTATGTAGAATAAGGCTCTGTATATGTTTAATTGTTTTGGTAAATAAATTCCATGAAT